TTTCATTCATCATTTATTTTTCTCCATGTATTGTCAAGGAACAAATTCAGTTCATTCTATGCCACAAAGTCCCTCTTTTTGTTCCCATGGTCACTGTCTTTGCTCCAGACTTTATCATAGGATTTTCAGATAAATCACTTTGTTTCCATGTATCCATATTCACCTCTCCTTTAAGTCTAATCCAAGAGTCGGACACGACTGAGCGACTGAACTGAACTGAACTGAACTCATCCCTGAATAAGACATTCTTAGAACTCTACACCAACATTCAAGAAATTAACTTTCAAAATCATTCTGAATTTTATTTAAGAGGATTTTGATTCAACTGCCGATATAACTTTTTTACTTTTGACTTAATGCTTTAAAATTACAGTCTTTAATGATTTTTAACATAGTGTACTTTTTAAATTTATTTTTTTATTGAAGGATAATTGATTTATAGAATTCTGTTGTTTTCCGTCAAACCTCAACATGAATCAGCCGTAGGTACACATATATCCCCTCCCTTTTGAAACTCCCTCCCATCGCCCTCCCCATCCTGCCCTTCTAGGTTGATACAGAGCCCCTGTTTGAGTTTCCTGAAAGTGAAAGTGAAAGTCACTCAGTCGTGTCCGACTCTTTGCAACCCCATGGACTATACAGTCCATGGAATTCTCCAGGCCAAAATACTGGAGTGGGTAGCCTTTCCCTTCTGCAGGGGATCTTCCCAACCCAGGGATTGAACCCAGGTCTCCCTCATTGCAGGCAGATTCTTTACCAGCTGAGGCACAAGGGAAGCCCTTGAGTTTCATGAGCCATACAGCAATACATACAGCAAATTCCCATTGGCTATCTATCTTATATACGGTAATGTGGAGACCCTGATGCTCGGAGGGATTGTGGGCAGGAGGAGAAGGGGACGACAGAGGATGAGGTGGCTGGATGGCATCACTGACTCGATGGGCATGAGTTTGAGTAAACTCCAGGAGTTGGTAATGGACAGGGAGGCCTGGCATGCATTGAATCTCAAAGAGTCGGACACGACTGAGTGACTGAACTGAACTGAAGTGAATGTAAGTTTCCATGTTACTCTTTCCATACATCTCACCCTCTCCTCCCCTCTCCCCAAGCCCATAAGTCTATTTTCTATGTGTATTTCTCCATTGCTGCCCTGTAAATGAATTCTTCAGAGCCATTTTTCTAGATTCCATATATGTATGTTAGAATACGACATTTATCTTTCTCTTTCTGACTCACTTCACTCTATATAATAGGTTCTAGGTTCATCCACCTCACCAGAACTGACTCAAATGTGTTCCTTTTATGGCTGAGTAATATTCCATTGTGTATATGTACCACTTCCTTAAAAAAACTAGGCATAAAACCACCATAGGATCCAGCAATTGCACTCCTAGGCATATACCCTGAGGAAACCAAAATTGAAAAAGACACATGTATCCCATTGTTCACTACAGCACTATTTACAATAGCTAGAACATGGAAGCAGCCTAGATGCCCATCGACAGATGAATGGATAACATAAAGTACTTTTACCTAAACATGCCACTTCAGCAGAAATATTTGGAACACAAAATACACTCAACCCAATATTTACACTGACTATGTTCAAGGTGATATAGTAGGCACTGTAGGGAACAAAGTGCTTAATAAAAATGGATTCAAGGTGAACGTTTCTTTTAAACACTTTACAATCTGCTAGGCAAGATAAGGCACGAACCTAAATAGTTACATACACATTGCAATAGGATCATTGTTATAGAAGATGTACAGAAAAACCTACTAGAATTATCTTGAAGGAGCATTTGCTTTCACTGAAGGAACCAAAGCGGGCTTCATAAAGGAGTTAATATCTGAACAAGCTCTTCAAAGATACGAACTTTGAAATATTTGTTTTTTATACACCATTTGAACCTCATGTATATGCAAGACACTCCAGAAAGTGCTACAGATACAGAAATGAACAAGAGACAGACCTTCCCTTGACTTCAAATTGTTCTCAGTCTATTAAGAAAGATAAAATCCATGATTAGAATCAGGAGAAAAGGAATTATATTGGAAATTTTCTAAAAATACTACAAACTACAAGGAAAATTACAAAGATGTAGGAAAGAAACTAAATCCTCTTCAAAGGGAATGTCTCTGGAAAAGGTGCTGCTTGGGCTGGGCTTATGGTTTCAGGTAGCCGAGATTACATGAGGATGGGCTGGGACGAGAGAAGCATCACACACAGGAGGGTCAAGGGTCAGGGACGCAAGGGTGTGATGTGTGTTCTGTGATGATGGTTCAGGAGTGCTGAAGAATAGAAGCACTAGATGTGAGTAGAAAATCACATCAGGGCTAGGTAATAGAAAGGTTAAAGGCCAGACTAGGCATTAAGTACGTATTTTTAGGAATAACCTCCTAAATTACACAATACATGGATTCAGTTTCACCAGGCAGACCAGAAATACACTTAATCAATGCCTCTCTGATTGAAAAACTGATGTTGTTGGCATCAGGTAATCCAACCATGGAATAATCTTTAGGCTTTTTACATTAAGCTTCAACTACTGGCTACACTTGGCTTCCCTCAGAGCTCAGTCGGTAAAGAATCTGCCTCAAAAAAAAGAAAAAGAACCTGCCTCAATGCAGGAGACCCAGGATTGATTCCTGGGTCGGGAGGATCCCCTGGAGAAGGGCATGGCAGCCCACTCCAGTATTCCTGCCTGGAGAGTCCCCATGGACAGAGGAGGCTGGCTACAGTCCACGGGGTCGTGAGAGTGGACACGACTGAATGACTAAACCACCGCTGGCTACACGGGCTTCTCTGGGAGCTTAGATAGTAAAGAATCTGCCTGCAATGAAGGAGACCTGGGTTCAATCCCTAGGTCAGGGAGATTCCCTGGAAAGGAATGGCAACTGATTCCAGTATTCTTGCTTGGAAAATTCCATGGACAGAGAAGCCTGATGGGCTATAGTCCATGGGGTCGCAAAGAGCTGAACACAGTTGAGCAATTACCACTAACACACACTGGCTACATTCAACTTCTCATAGTGACTTCTTTGATGCTCTGGTCACTTCTGTTTGGTTTATATTTGTCAGTAACAGTCATCTTATTTTTATTTCATGATAATCTACTCTTCATCACTCCAATGGATTATTATAGGAAATGGAATCCAAGACAATAGCTATTCACTAAACACTTTAGGACCCAGGTTTCCTCCATCTGTAGTAATCATAATACTCAGCCACCACTAGCAAATTAGGCTGAGCTATGCCTTTTCATTTGGAGCTTTGATAACTGTAATCTACTTTTAACTAACCTATTATTTTGGTCCCCTGAAAAATATGTGTTTTTGTCTCTAGTTTGCCCTCTGTATATTAGGTAACAAAATCAAAATAAATGACCAGCTCAGCAGTAGATATACAGTAGTTGAGGAAAAGGATAAATTAAAAATCAAAACATTGCTTCATTAAGAATGTTTTTCCTTATTTATATTTGGTATCATCATGTTTACGTGTTCTTCAAAAGTCCACATTAAACTACCCTGCACTGACTACGTACGCTTCTACATCAACTTGCTTCTTTCATCATCTTTCCTGAGGCAAGAAAGAAATGTTTAAGCCTATCACTACTTACTGAGAATATGTTTAATTAGATCATTAGAATTTTTCCAATAACTAGCTAAGAATGAAGTTCAAGAAGAAGTAAATGTTTTAGTCCAATAGGCTGGATAGTACCTATTCTCACTGGTACCACAGTGAGAATCCTTTATCAGCCAAAGGTGCTATGTGGATACTGGATGCTTTAAGTGACATAAATACATCATCAGGAAGTCAATGAAGGCTGCGAAAACAAAGATGTGGCACCAGAGATTTAAAAAAATGCCTGCCCTGCAGTTTTGCAGAGGTCCCAGGAGTACCAAAAGGCCAACTCACCAATAAACATGTCCTCCCAGCTACTTTGGGAAGCTTGCAAATACCTGGCTTAGAAGACTCTAAACAGGACACTGTGATGCTGACAAATGGTCATTGTCACAGAGAGCTCGTCATCGATTCATTTCTCACTCCCAAAGCCAAGCCAGCCTCTGCATTCCTGACATTCTCTGCTTTGTCAGTCTTCTGATAACTTCCTGACAACAAATAGCCAGTCATTCTGTTTCTGTTTTCCCTTCAAAATTCCCCCTTCCACCTCCTTCTTTCTGGCCATCACAGATAATGGGTCTCCTACTATATCAAAGACTCTCCACTTTAAAGGAATATACAAGGCTGTATATTGTCACCCTGTTTATTTAACTTATATATGAAGAATACATCATGTGAAATGCCAGGTTGGATGGAGCACAAGCTGAAATCANATGAGTTTGAGTAAACTCCGGGAGTTGGTGATGGACAGGGAGGCCTGGCATGCTGCAGTCCATGGGGTCGCAAAGAGTCGGACGCTACTGAGTGACTGAACTGCCTGCCTTCCTTCCAGATCGCTGAGGCCAGCCCTGCTTATGGTGGTTTCCAGGAACACAGTCAGTATTTCCCTTAAGACACAGATGAGGAAACGATTTTCCTTACATGCTCTTATTCCTAGTGTATCCTTTTACTCCTCTTTCACTAATTTAAAAGTCACATGTCTACATGTCCGATCTAGCTGATATCTACATTTCATGTCACATTTCATCTTTAAAACGTGCTCCTTGATGCACCCAGCCTGACAAGCACTCTAAGAAATTCCCTCTACTGACCTTATTCAAGCATTTTCAAAAGGAAGAGTTAATATTCACCCAAATCCACCCCCGCTAAGAATTTTACATGTTCTCTTCCACCAATTCACAGTATAAGTTATATAATCCTTATGAATTTATTATCTTCATTTACACTGTGATGATTTGTGATCTTGGGATTTTAGTTTTTTAATGTTTCTTTTCCTTGAGAGTTTTGTATGCCTCCATGCCTTCAGTAAACAGAAGGCCTTTGCAGACAAGGAATATGAAACATTTTTTTCTTACTGACAAGAAGAAAAACCTACCTGGCCATGTCTTTGCTGAGGAGCCATCGCCTGAGGCCGTTCAGGATGCAACGGGGCCTGGAGGTCCACCCCTCGAGTTTTGGGGCGCACCACATCGGAGGCCAGACTGGAGGAGATGGCAAGAGACACAGGCCGAGCAGCCGGGGGGCCTGTCCCCACCGGGGGTCCCTGGTCACCTTTTCTGCCCGGGGCTTCCTCCTCCCCCTCAGAGTCCACAATAAAGACATATTCCGCTTTGAAGAGGTCACTTTGCTGCATTCCTTGAGGTTTCTTCTCTTTAAATTCCCTTCCTTGGGAAGCCTTGTCCTTGACCTCTGAAGGGCAGGTCAGCGTTCCTCGTTCTCTCTCTTGTTGGCTCCCAACATTCAAGGTCAAGTACTCATGGGAATCAAACTGCAATAAATGGAGAAACATAAAAGAGTTGATGTTGCTTTGATAAATGCTTCTTTTCTGTACTCTTAAACACTTAACCTGCTTATATTATTCAAGGACAAAAGGTTTTACAAATATATCCCCAAATCAAGTTGGCATAGGAGAGTTTGGGTTGAAGTTAATGGCTTACTTTTAATAACTCACTTGTATGTCATGGTCCAAAGCTAAGTAATTTAGGACCCAGAATTAACGTTAACAAACAAACACTTTCAAATAAATTTTGATATGACTTTTTAGAAAGAGAGGATGAGGGCAATATTTTCTGTAAAGACATTCACAAAACAAGTGGGACCTGGTCAGTCATGGGCTTAATTAATAGTCAAGCAAAACTTGTATAATCCTGCATAAGCTGGGGGTGGGAAATGAAACCCCACTGAAAGGTTCTAAAATAATATGCATTCCTCTCAAACTCTGACAAGAAAAGTAAAATTGGAACAAAATGTGGATATTCAGACAAAATAATCCAAGCCTATGGGAAGAACTCATGAATAGGACATCAAAAAGATAGATACTTTTAGTATAAAGTGTTTTCTACTGTTATTTCATTTTTGATTTATAATCCTAAATAGATTCCCATTCAGTTTTCTATGAACACATAGGAGGTTTACAAAATCAGGAAATAGATAGTTTTCTCAAGGTACCAAAGCATCTTTTTTCTAAAATGGTAGCAGCAATGTATACCAAGACTATGTTTCAAAGACCCAACAGTAATTTCCTCGGTTTTGATAAGCATTGTTGTTGTTGTTGTTGTTAGTCGCTAACTTGTGTCCAACTCTTTGCAACCACACGGACTATAGCCTGTCAGGCTCCTCTGTCCATGGGATTTCCCAGGCAAGGATACTGGAATGAGTTGCCATTTCCTTTTCCAGGGGATCCTCCTGACCCAAGGATCAAACCCTCATCTCTTGCTTGACAGGTGGATTTCTTACCACTGAGCCACTATTTTTTTTTTTTTTTGCAACATTTCTCTAAGTATAACATTATTACAAAATAGATAAAGATACTAAATAAGCTAAAATAAACTAAATGTCAACTATGATCATCAATTTAATGTTTGCTAATATGTATCATGTTATGTGTGAGTGAAGATACAATAATCAAATCATTGATGAACTAGGAGTCAAATTCATACCACCAGACCACATTTTTCAGCTGATGATGACATAGTCAACATACTTTTCCTCTGATTTGGATTCTTCTGAGAGTGGTCATTTCACATATAAATTTACAACACTATGTAGTAACAAGAGCCCTTGTGTCTCAGATGGTAAAGAATCTGCCTGCAATGCAGGAGACCCGGATTCAATCCCTAGGTCGGGAAGAGCCTCTGGAGGAGGGAAGGGCAACCCACTCCAGTATTCTTGCCTGGAGAATTCCACCGACAGAGGAGCCTGGTAGGCTACAGTCCCTGAGTTTTCGAAGGGTTGGACACGACTGAGCGACTAACATTTCACATATAGTAACAAAGCCCAAATTAGAAGGAAGCTTAAATTAAAAATTGAAGGATTCAAAGACAGATTGCTTATGATGGAAAGTGAACAGAATAACTAAAGAGCTGGCAAAACTGAACTCATTTTTGAAAATGTTATTAATGATCTACAATAACTCCCTGCTCCCACAGTCCAACATTCTCTATTTGTTTATTCTGATGTATTTTTTACAGCATATCTTACCACCCAAGGTTTTATTATATGCTTTTTACTATTTTCATTGTCTGTCTTTCCAATAAAAAATAACTTATGAGTTGACTTTATTCATCCAGAATCCACAGCACCAAGGACAGAGCATGTGTTCAAGTCAATAGTTTTTAAATATACAAAGAAAGAAGGATTATTTACCCTGCTGTATTATACTACTGAACTGTTTTTAAAAAAGGAAGAAGAATGTTTACTCTTTTAAAGATGTGGTTGTGCAGGTACCCTTGCCATCTGCAGATGAATATCATTAGCTTAGGAAGCTTTGGAGATCTGCAACCAAGATTGATTCATATGTCTATAGTCTCAGGAGCTCAGAGCACCTAATCACAAAGGATCCCTTGAATATATTGTACGTGCTTTAGTACTGTTAGAGAGAAAATTCCCAGAAGTGTCTTATGTAGCTCTCAGAATTTCTCTAAAATAATTCGTTCTCACAATAGTTTTTGAAATAAGTCCCAGGTTCATGGATCTATCACTGCTTGCTAGATAAGATGAATTTTATTTTAAGATACATCTGGGAGGGGAGGTGCCAAGAGGCATAATGTATTATGTGAACAGCAAACAACAGCATGTCAAATCAAAAGGGTTAAGAATAACTTGTTGTAGAAAACCTGAGATTTGATAACATTGAAGTACCTATTACATAATTATATTTTTAGCCACTTTTAGATTTCCCAGTTATCTCACTTTAAGTAGAGAAAATAAACATTCATACAGCTTTTCATGTCATTATTATGGATACTTTAATGTTAATTACTTGACATAAAAATAATAAAAATAATCCTACCCTATTTACAGTTTCTGGAGTCTTATCACTTGGTTCCTCAGGAATTTTAACAATGTATTTAGAGGTGTCACCCAACTGGGAGTGGGTTGGCAGTCTTCTGACAGTGGGGACAAATGTGAAGATCAGAGGTTTAGCTTCAGAATCACCAGAAGAGACCTATGAGACACGTAATAAATTAGACTTTCAGTCTTATCAAAGGTTTATCTTGACTTTACTTTCTACATATTATGGTATTTATCTTGCTTATTTTGATAAACTGCCTACCGTCCTGTGATCATGTGATGGTTGCCAAAGAGAACAGCTATTAAGTATTCATCATGTATCTGATCAATTTTTTTAATGAAAATACTTATCAGTGAAAGAAAAACAACCCCAGGAAGATCTTACTGTAGGACACAGCAACAGAAGAGTAGGTTGACAAGTTGAGCTTCTGGAATGCTACAAGTTAACAAGGATGAATGTCAGTTTCAACACAGACCAGATGCTGTGTTTGTGATGACCTCACAGAGGTCACGGACTTTCAACCGTTTAACCCTGAATTAGCAGGTTCAAGTTGACTCATAATCACCAACCGTGTGTGAAACTTTGGACATATACCATTAATGAGAAGGCTAAAATGTGAATGGAAAATTGAAAATGTACTTTCCTGGCTATCAACATACCAATGCCTCTTCTCAAGGATATACCTTCTCTTTCATTCATTCTTTATTCATTCAAAAATTATTTTGTTAAGTATTTGCCATGTGGCAGGCACTCAGGAGCTAAAGATACAACAGAAAACAGGGAACAGTCAATAGGTCTCTCACAAGGAGGAGAATGGTATGCACAGAATAGGAAGGGGAAAGCGATGATGGTTGGGTGCCTACCCAGTCTGGGAAGCTCCATAAAAGGCAGCACCTGGAACTGATGTCCTGGTGCAGAGGAAGAGAAGGTTCTCCCATGCTGAGGAAACCAGATAAGTGAAGGCATGGAAAACAACACTGTGTGTGGATCAAGCCTGGGTTTTGCCCTAATTACAATGAGAACCAAGTGATTGGGAATGACATCATCACGTCACAATGTCAGATGGGTGATGCTGGTCTTAAAACCCCAAGCCTGGTGATCAAGAAAGAAATCCAAAAGTGACAGATGGAGGAGTGAATGGAAAGATGGCAAGAGAAGATGGTACTGGAGATTTCTCTTTCAAGCAGTGGAATGCAGGAAGAGAGATGGAGAGAAGTTAGAGAGGAAGGTCTGGTCAAAGGGATGCCTCTGTTGATCTATAATGGGACAGACATGAAGACGTCTGTAGACTTGGGGGAAAAAAACAAAGCAACAGAGACTTCCCTGATGGCCCAAAGGTTAAGACTCTGCCCTTCCATTGCAGGGGACACAGGTTCAATTTCTGGAAGATCAATTAAGATCCCACATGCCGCACAGTGAGGTCAAAATATAAATAAATAAAAGTAAACAACAGAAAGAATATAGCTTCCTCTGTGAACAGAGAAAATGAAGATACAGAAAAGATCCCACTGTGGGGCACTGGGAGAAGTTGGAAAATGACAGGACTCATTTTGCATCTAAACCACATTAGTGATGCAATCAGCCCCAGCTAGTCAAGGTGGACACTACCATGTTGCCCCCTCCCTGCTCGTCATAAGAAATGCAACGGTCCCAGCAGGCCCTCCCATGCTCCTCTCCCTTCTAGCCATGCCACCACTGTATGCCTTATCTCAACATGCCCTTTAACCCCGATCACGTCAGCCCCTCAAGAAACCCAGCCATCCCTGCATCCCTGTGTGCCAGGTACACCCCTACTTTTGCTCCTTTCTTATAACTGAGCACAACCCTCTGAGGCCTTCCCAGAATAGCCCCCCCACTCATGCCCTCTACCTGCCTTTTGTCTGTAGAAAAACTAGTCAAAGAATAAATTTAATCAGAGAAACTAGAAAATGCAGACAAAAGGAAAACAGTCAAGCAAGACAAAATAATAATAGCTTAGCCAATAAACAAAGTCAAAGACATTTAGTTCTTCCTCAAGGACTATAGATAATATTCTGAGCCATGTTCTTTGAGCTGTTTTGCAGATACTGAAACCCTCACCAGGTGGTAGAAGTTAATTGTATGCTGCCTACAAGCACAAAGACCGCAGACCGGTTGGAACCAGAAGGTTAATGATGTGGAATCCAAATCACCTCACCACCAACCGATCAGAAGAATGTCCAGGAGCTGGCCACGCCCTGCTCCTTGAACACTGACTCCTCGTGACCCTCTCCAGGGAGGGATGCACAACTTTGCGGGCACTGGCCTGCTGTGGCCCACTTTGCCTGACAAAGCATAAAAGCTATTCTTTCTCCTTCATCCAAAGCTCTGTCTCTACATTTCTGTTTGGCACCAGTGAACAGAGGCAGAGTTTCAGAAACACACACTTATCCAGCTCTTGGCAACTTCTCATCCTCCACTGTCTGGAATTCAGGCAGTCGTCACACAGCCCTGCACATCCTGAACCTCCTCCTCGCCTGCTGCAGCTCTAAGTAAACCACAGTCCCCTCTGAAGACTCCGCTTCCCAGGAGGTCCTCAATGGCTGGTTGCTCTCACGCTAGGTCTAGAAGTAGGGTAAGTGTCCTCCTTGTGATCTTACAGCTTCCAGACCATTCTCTTCTTCCCTCACCCCTACAAACCTCCAAGTTCCAAGCTCCTGCCACGCACCAGTTAACGCCCTTCACTACCTACCTCTGCTTGTCGCAGTCATCTGCCCACAACCAAGTCAACCCCTTCTTTCTTTGAAGATTTAGTTCCAGTGTTAACTCCACTCCTTCTAACACTATATCTCACGGGTAATTTTTCTAGTAACATATGTCACTGACCTCTGCTCTTCTTGGCCTTCACATCCCTGGCAACAACCAATAGCCACAACCCTTCCATAATTTTGGAGTGTTTTCCTTCTCTGACCAACACTTCTTTTCTTTCCACATCATTCCTCTGGTTCTCTAACTCCAGCATTTCTGGGAACCCATCAAAATGGAAGTCTACCGATCCTTCCAGCAGTAAGTTTTCCCAGACTCCATTTTTTAGCCAGTTTCAATGTCTGATACAACTACTCCTGTGGACACCCCTCCAATGTCTTGCCTTCTCTCATGTCATCATCCCCTTTGGGTAAATCATGGTGCTCATTGACTCTAACCCCTACCAACTCTACTCTGGCACCACAGAGGTAAATGCAGCTGGGGAAAAAGTTACAGGACCATGCTTGCTGGTTTCACTTAAGATTCATGGCTCTGAGCCTCAAGTAGGTCCTTCCACACTACTCTATAATCATACTATATTCTTTATTAGACTATGATCGCTTTACAATGTTCTGTCCATTTCTACTGCACAACGAAGTGAATCAGCTACATGCATACATATATCCCCTCCCTCTCTGACCGCCTTCACACTCCACCCCTGATCCCACTCCTCTAAGTCATCACAGAGCACCCAGCTGAGCTTCCTATGCTCTATAGCATGTTCCCACTAGATATCTATGTTACCCAGCGTAGTGTATATATGTGGGCTTCCCAGGTGTCTCGGTGGTAAAAAATCCACCTGCCAATGCAGGAGATGCAGGAGACATGGGTTTGATCCCTGGGTCAGGAAGATCTGCTGGAGGAGGAAATGGCAACCCACTCCAGTATTCTTGCCTGGAAAATCCCTTGGACAGAGGAGCCTGGCGGGCTACAATCCATGGGGTCACAAAGAGTCAGACAAGACTGAGCACACATGTACACAGTGTATATATGATGATCCTAATCTCCCAATTCATCTCACCCAACTCTTCCCCCCATATGCATATGTCCGTTCTCTACACCTGCGTCTCTATTCCAGCCCTGCTTTTCTCTATCTGTAAGAGAAAAACAGATACCAGATATTAACACGTATATGCAGAATCATACTATACACTGATAGATTCAGAGCCCATTTACTCTCCCACACACATAGAAAGCTCACATCTTCTCTGCTTTCTGCAAACACCTGCATCCTCATCCCCATTCTCACTCTGAGCTAAAAACTCTGTTTCCCATTTCACTGAGATAATTGAAGCAAACAGAAGAGAACCTCCAAACCCCTCATCACAGCTTCTAGTCACCCACCTACATCTTTGTCCTTTTATGGGACCATCAGTCCTTCTACTCCACTCCTACTAAAACCAAACCTCACTTGATTACATTGCCTTCTATAATACTTTCATTTACTTAACAAGATTTATTAAATGCCCACCAGGTGCTAGGCTTTATTTTAGGGCTTGGCAATATGAACAAAACCTGTACCCATTCCAGTGGGAGGGAGACAGGAAGCAAAATAAATAAGAAAAAGGTAGAAATTTTCAATTGAGCTAAGTGCTATGAAGACTAGTATAATAATCCACAGGAGAAAAAAATGATAGGTAAAACTTGGGTTGGCTATAATTTAAAGGAAAAACTTAGAATTTGCTGAAAAATTAGATGTGAGATGCAAGAGGCAGACAACAGTCAAGACATACAAAGTTTTTGACCTGAATAACTGGAAGATATGCGATATTCTTCACAGAAGTGAGGAAAATAAGAGGTGGAACTGGTTTGAGAATAAAGATCAAATTTGATATGACAAAAAAATACATCCAAGAGGAAATGTGGGGATAGGAGAAAAGTTCAGAGGAGAGTCTGTGCTGGAGATAAAATGATTAGGGTTGTTAACCTATACATGACTTTGAAAACCATGAGACCAAATGAGATCACCAGGGATTCAGGCACAAACAGGAAAAAAGAGGCCCAAGGTTGAAGCATCCAGGCTCTGCCATTAAGTGGTGCAGTAGCTGAAGAAGAACTCATAAACGTGACATTGGATTTTAAGAGAAAAATAAGCCTTGAACATCATTGACAGCAATAAGAAAGAGACCAGACCATAAATAATAAAAGGATAGACAGGCTATTGTGAGAGTCCAGCCCAAATGTAAACCCAAGAATTTGTCATGAAAGCAATTTGCTTGGCTGTTGGATAATCTCTCCAGGGATGCTCAACTGCCTATCACAGGAACAGAGAAAGTGAATTGCACCATTTATAGAACTGATGTTCAGAGGTGGTTTTGGCAGAAGAATGTTGTGTGTGTCAGGAAATTGAGGGTACCGATGAAAGAAAAGCAAAAGGTCAGCCAGGGAGTACACAGGGAAGAAAGGGGACCTCACACTAAGAGACTAGCAGGCTCTATGGCTGAGAAATCAGATTTGAAAGTATGGTAGGTGTTTGGGAGAATGGTGTGGTGTCACAAGATAGGATGCAAGAGAGAGTTTGAGATTCAGTAGTATGGTAAATCTAGCATAATAGTTCTAGGCTTATAACCAGGTACAGTTAGGATTAGGGTTTCTAGAAACAATGCATATTCCTTAAGGAATAAAAAATACACAGACCAACCCTTCTGAGCCAACTATCATTTTTCAATATTATTTTCTGCCTTTCAAAATAATTGTCATTATTCCTCCATAGCAGTCAGGTCACAATTCCCAGGTTGTAGCTTATCATCAGAAAATAACAAATCAATGGAGTTGAGCCTGAGTATTTGAGATGAAAAAACAGGAAGGGCACTGAGCCTGTGAAGGTCAAGGAACTGGGAGACAAGAATGCCGACAAGACTGTAATCATGACAACAAAAGCCACACTGGGACTGCAAGGCTGAGCTGGAGCAGGCAGTATGGTAACAGCACATGAGGCAAGGGTCAAGTGCCACCAGGAACAGCTGACACTCGGGACAGCAGACTGTTAATCAGATTTTTGTGTGTGTGAACACAAAATCAAATAAAGAGAACTAGATATCCTTGTAGCAGATTTCACCAAGTTATAGATGGTCTAATGAACTAACTCTGGACCACTTACTGCAGGATACAACTTTCTGGTAACCATTTTCCTGGGCTCCAAAATCACTGCAGACAGTAACTGCAGCCATGAAATTAAAAGACGCTTGCTCCTTGGAAGAAAAGCTATGACAAACCTAGACAGTGTATTAAAAAGCAGAGACATCACATTACCCACAAAGGTCCATATAGTCAAATCTATGGTTTTTCCAGTGGATGTGAAAGTTGGGCCACAAAGAAAGCTGAGCGCCAAAAATCGATGCTTTCAAACTGTGGTGCTGGAGAAGACTCTTGAGAGTCCCTTGGACTGCAAGGAGATCAAACCAGTCAACCCTAAAGGAAACTAACCCTGAATATTCACTGGAAGGACTGATGCTGAAGCTGAAGCACCTGATGCAAAGAGCCAATTCACTGGAAAAGACCCTGATACTGGGAAAGATTGAGGGCAAAAGAAGGGGGTGAATGAGATGGTTGGAAGGCATCACTGACTCAATGAACATGAGCTTGAGCAAACTTTGGGAGATAGTGAAGAACAGGGCAGCCTGGCATGCTGCAGTCCATGGGGTCACAAAGAGTCAGACACAATTTAGCAACTGAACAGCAAACCAGAAAACTAAGACAGCTCTGCCTTCTAGAAACAAAGCATATTCCTTAGGGCGTAAAAATTACACAGCAAATCCTTCTGAGCCAACTATCATTTTTCACTATTATTTTCTGCCTTTAAAAATAATTGTCATTATTCTCCCATGGCAGTCAGGTCACAGTTCCCAGTTTGTAGCTTATCACCTAAAAAATAATAAAGCAATGCTCTCCTTTGTTGGAAGAGACATGAGATCCCTCATGAGATTCAGGGAGTCCAGTAGCCTTTATCAGTGATACACAATACAAGACACTTTCCAGAGGGATTTTTTTTCTAGGAAGGTTTCTTTACATGACTAATCTCATCAATATCATGATAGATGGAGAGAGGTTTTAGCAAGGAAATCACTGAGGGTAGCTCAGATAATTTATCACAGAATTTCATTTGGGTAAGAAATAAAGATAGTCCTTTAAGAGTCAAAAAAGAGGTGAAACTGACTTTGTCCTCAGGCCCTGTAGGCCTGTTCTCATCTCCCCACAGAATGATTACAGGTCTACTTTAGGTTCTATCTAGATGAAATTTAAACACTAATGTATGAAAGACTTCAACTCACTTCCCTGTGGTTACAAAATATGTATCACCTTTATTAACAATAAGTGGTTTTACTTTCTAAAGCACATACAATGACAAAAATTTACTTCACCCAAAGCCTTGCTACATAAGTTCCCAAAATACAAATAGAACGTCATTACTGATGAATCATAAACTAATGACTTTTTAAAGGTTAATAGCTACAATTTTAGTGAATAAAATGGAAATGTAGTACAATAAACACAAATGCTTCGATGAATAAGGTGTGCTTTTAGAATGATGCCCTCAAAGGAATTTCTAAAAGTAACCATATGTTGACAATGAAAGCAACTGAAAATAAGTAAAATAATTTCCATCTACTTTATTGCTGTATTTTCCTACAAATAGCCCTAGCCTACATAAAATTTCTTCACCAGGTAAAGAGAACATTTTTTGAGAATTTTTAGTTGAACCAATACATAATATCATCAAGAATAACATTAAAAATGGAAAATCCAATAGTACTAAAGGCTTATTCATCTTCCTAGGTTACTGTCAGAAGAGCACAGATAAATTCCTGTCCACACATTTAACCTCAGATCAACCTCAAAAAGGGGCAATGGTTTGGTATTTGCTTTTAAGCTGGGAGTACAATGTTGGCATGTGGCTTTTTTCATCACATTTCCGTACCATCTTCTTATTCCTACCAAGGATGCAGAGTTTTTGCACAGAATTTAGTTGGAAAGGATTTGAAATTACACTAGCTACTCTATACAACAGGCTGGTTGACTGTTGAATCCCTTATTCAGGAAAGAAAAAGAAAAATTTTGCTGTTTACTGCATACCGTGGCCAAGTTCCAAAGAGCCCAGAAATGAATTGCTATGGTGATGAAAAATCATTTTCCACACAAAGCAGAAACAGATGCATGTTAATATCATTGCACTGGTTAAATGCCAATTAACACTTTCCTTTGTCAGCGTTGTTTAAAAACACATCTCAGTTCTTATCCTTGGGAAACTAGTTTAATAATAGAAATTAGAGCTGAAAGGATGAAAAGCTTTCCCTAAATATGGTTTCAAGCACTTGAAACTCTGAGACTGTCACCTTCTCACCGGCCAGCCGACTAATAATTTAAGAAACTGTTTCCTCCATGCCATGCAGGCTGACTATTTCTTTGCTCAGTTTCCAGTAGCAATGCCTTCCTTCCTTCTCTTTCCCTAAACGTTCTCTTCTTCTGATCTTGACACCCACACTCACAGATGGCCACTAGCCTCTTGTTGAGAAGAGAAAAGACAGGGTGTCAGCGCTCACACTGCACCAAGGACCATCCTCAGCATCTTCTTCAGTTGCCAGCAAGCAGCTTTGCTCTATCTGCTCATCCTTTCCACTAACTGCCTAAAACATTTCATTTTGACATAGTCAAATTTATCTACACCCAGGCATCTCTCTCACAAACCCTCTTGCAGCAAACACCACAGTGCACAGCCTTTCAAAGTTCTCGAGAGCAGGAAGGAAAGCCTTCCTTTTACCTGGGGTGTGGTCTGCACGCTCCCTGCTAAGATGCACGAGTTCATTTGGAAGTAATTGTTCCCGCGGTCCCTCGGAAGCCCCTGGGTTTCTGGAAGCATTGATTCATCCCATAAGGGAGTGAGCAAACCAACGAGTGAGGTGGGAAGGGAGCCGCTCCCTGAAACAACACACACACACTCGCGGGGAGAAAAGAATTCTAAAAAGAGGTAACGTGGACTCCTCCCTGAGCAGAGGGATTTTTGTCAGCTCCAAAGGGCAGATTCATGTTCAGACAGTGTTTAGATTTGGAACTTCAGGAGAGGTCAGATTGACTGCTGAAATGGAGCCAGCAGAAGTTAAAAAAAAAAAAAATTGCCACCTATACGCATTTCCCCTTTCTTTTCATGCACATAGTCCAATTAAACATTCTGCAAAAAGAACAGAGGAGCCAGATTGTACAGCTACAAGAAGCTGATTGAAGGGCCCTCACAGCTGACAATCTCAGCAATCAGTTGGTCACACTCACTGAGAACATTTAGAGGCACAAATACACGCAAACACGGAGTCTAAATACAGAACAAAACACACAGCGATTCCTTCATAAAATCAGTAGCTTTAATTCCTGGTCCTTGGCATGTACGTAGTGAGCAATGCTACAAGCATCGGTAGTGACTGAAGTCTTGCTATTAACCAAATTTGCTCTCAAATAGAGCTTGGAATCAAAAATCTGTCAAAACAACATTCCAAGGTTCCTGGAAGACAGGGAGTGTCCCGACTGCAGAAAACTTCAAAACTTTACACGTGGAATTGATTGGCGTTTTCCGTTTTTGTACTTCTATTTTCTGAGTATTGATTTTTCTCCAAATCCGTAATATCTGTATTTGTGCTTTGGCGATGAAAGTTGTTCTGTTGCAAGAGCTGGTTATAGACCAAAAGCTCTGGGAAGGAATGAAGGAGTTATTTTAGGGACCTAGATTATACCACTTAACATTTTCCCTGCTTATCAGAAGCCCGAATTTGTGGAAACACTACAAACAAGTAAAACAATTGTCGAAAGTGATGCTGTTAGCATCACTGGGGAAACTACTCCAAATAACCTAGTACTTTTTCTTCAGGCAAGGCTTTATCGGGGCCCCTGCTGCAGCGGTGGGGAGGAAAGCAAATGACAAGTTCCTATGTTTGCTCTCTCCCCGAGGGGTGAGCTTCCTCACACTGGGAGAGGGTACGGGTGTGTCCAGGGATTGGGCCAGTGGGCTGGCTTAGGTGGTTTGCCCACCCCTCTGGTGGTGTTGCCTTTTCCTACTGTTCACGGGGTTCTCAAGGCAAGAATACTGACGTGGTTTGCCATTCCCTTCTCCAGTGGACCACGTTTTGTCAGAACTCTCCACCATGACCCGTCCGTCTTGAGTGGCCCTACCTGGCATGGCTCATAGTTTCATTGAGTTAGACAAGGCTGTGGTCCATGAGATCAGATTGGTTAGTTTTCTGTGACTGTGGTTTTTTCAATCTGTCTGCCCTCTGATGAATAAGGATAAGAGACCTATGGAAGCTTCCTGATGGGAGAGACTGCCTGTGGGGGAAATTGGGTCTTGTTCTGATGGGCAGAGCCATGCTCAGTAAATCTTTAATCCATTCTTCTGTTGATGGGCGGGGCTGTGTTCCCTCCCTGTTGTTTGACCGGAGGCCAAACTATGGTGGAGGCAATGAAGATGATGGCGACCTCCCTCAAAAGGTCCAACAAAGGTCTGTCTAGTCAAGGCTATGGTTTCTCCAGTAGTCATGTATGGATGTAAGAGTTGGGCTATAAAGAAAGCTGAGTGCCAAAGAATTGATGCTTTTGAACTGTGGTGCTGGAGAAGACTCTGCAAGGAGATCCAACCAGTCCATCCTAAGTAAATCAGTTCTGAATATTCATTGGAAAGACTGATGCTGAAGCTGCAACTCCAATACTTTGGCCACCTGATGTGAAGAGCTGACTCGTTGGAAAAGACCCTGATACCAGGAAAGACTGAAGGTGGGAGGAGAAGGGGCTGACAGAGGAAGAGATGGTTGCATGGCATCACCAATGAGATGGACATGAGTTTAAGTAAACTCCAGGAATTGGTGATGGACAGAGAGGCCTGGCATGCTGCAGTCCATGGGGTGGCAAAGAGTCAGACCTGACTAAACAACTGAACTGAACTGATGGTGCTACATGCAGAAGGTATGTGCAGTACTCTGCTTTTGCTCCTGACACCCAGGTTTTTTGATCTCAGCTCTTCAGAAGAAATGGTAGTTGGGTTTTTTGGCTTCTTTGTATCTTTTGTCCAACAATTGTCCCAATTGCACATACAGACAGTTATGTTTAGTACTATACAGTTTCTTTAATGATCTAAAATTTTAATGTGAATACTGTATGACATCAGAAAATAAATTATGTGCCTTTTTAAACCCACTGCAATGTTGTGAAGTAATTAGCCTCCAACTAATAAAAATAAATGGAAAAAAAAATTATGTGCCTTTTTCTATGCAAGGTATATTTATAGATGCTCAAGAGACTATACTGCCCTCTTGCCCTCAAAAAGCCTACAGTCCAATTGAGAATATAAAAGAGTTGTACGAATAGAAAGATGCAAAGTGAAAAAGAAAAGAAAAAAATCCCATACTTCAGTTCTCAAAGTTGATACATAAGTCACTTGAAGATCATGTTAAAATGCAGGTTCTTAAATATCCTGTGATAAACCACAATGGAAAAGAATCTGAAAAAGAATGTAGATATACATATAACTGAATCACTTTGTTGTACAGCAAAAATTAACACAACACTGTAAATCAGCTATATTTCATAAAATATTTTTAATGCAGTTTCTGACTGAGGAGGTCTGAGGTGTGGCCCCAGATCTGACATTTCCAACGAGCTCCCAGTGGGGCCTACCTCCTAGTCTGTGACAATATGAATAGCAAAGACTTAGAGGAACCTTTGGAGGGCGGTGAGATCACAGTCATCTGGGGTAAGTAGTTCAAGGACAAAGAAACGTTCAGGCTGGACTTAGAAGAACTGGAGCTTTCCTGGTGGCTCAGATGGTAAACTGAGAGAGACCCAGTTTTGATCCCTGGGTCAGGAAGATCTCCTGGAGGAGGGCATTGCTACCCACTCCAGTATTCTTGCCTGGAGAATTCCATGGACAGAGGAGCCTGGCAGGCTACAGTTAATGGGGTCGCAAAGAGCCAGACGTGACTGAGTGACTAACACTTTCACTTGGCAGAGTAGGTGAGTGAGACCTCTGAAGATGAGGCAGAATAGCCCTTATTTCAGGCAGAGAGAAAAGCTTGAGCAAAGGCCCCTATCAGACCAGCAGTGAGCAGCAGCGAAAGTCACTCGGTCGTGTCCGACTCTCTGCGACCCCACAGACTACACAGTCCCTGGAATTCTCCAGGCAAGAATACTGGAGTGGGTAGTCTATCCCTTCTCCAGGGGATCTTCCCGACCCAGGAATCAAACCAGGGTCTCCTGCATTGCAGGTGGATTCTTTACCAACTGAGCTTTGAGGGAAAGCCACAGCGTGGGCTGCAAGCCACGGGGCCGAGGAATTAGATAACCCACTGGCTGGAGGACCCTGGGTGGGGTGGTCACAGGACCTCTCAAAGGCTCAGTCCTCCACCAGAGAAACATGGACCAGAATAGTGCATATTTCACAGGGCTCGCAGGACAGTGCTGATTAAATTCAACATGTAAAGCTCTGTACCAGGCAAATAACGTGTGTTACTCAGTGGAACCCAGGTCTCCTGCACCGCCGCAGATTTTTTTCCCTTTGAGTCACCAGGGAAGCCTGGCAAATAGCTTACATCAGAATAAAGGCAAGTAAGGCTACAAACATAGGTTCAAAGTGGATCATCAGAGATCTTTTTTTAATATACCATTTTAACCTTTACAAAGTGTACAGTTTAGTGAGCACATTAAGGACACTTACGTTACTGTGCAACCATCACTACTAATCATCCACAGAACTTTTTTCATTTTGTCAAACTGATGTTCTGCTCTGATTGAGCAATAATTCCCCATTCCTCACACCCCCCCCCACCCCCAAGTAACCACTAGTCTACTTTCTACATTCAGATTCATCTCTCCTCTTCTCTGTAGCTCATCAGACATCTTGAATTAAGGTGTTTTTGATGTTACTCAGTAGGGAATAGGAACAAAGATTTATGTATATAAAAATGTATATATTGGGTTGATCAAAAGTTTCATTTGGGTTTTTCCATAGCATCTTATGGAACGAACCTTTTGGCCAACCCTGTATATGTACGTGATTTTCCTTGAGTCATTTTGCAACATGAGAAACAATGACATTAATCCATTATTTTCCTATAAACACATGTATGTATATAATATATATATCATCATATATGTATATACCACATATATATAAAAATCTTAATTCCTAATCCCTACTGAATAGGGTAGCCTTAACAAATCCTAGAGACCACACTCATCTCCACGTTCTGTCCTTTGTCAATGGTTCATAAGTTTATTCCACATGAATTGAAACAATCAGGAAGCTCTTTTCCAAAGTCTCATTCTGTCCTTTCCCCTCTGATCTTTCCTTTCTCTCATTCCCTCTCCCAAGCAGAAAACAATATTTAGACATATTGGTATGATCATATTTTGGAGAGGAAATATGTTATCCCCTATCCTTTGCCCTATTTGAATTTTTCCTTGAGTCATTTTACAACATGAGAACCAATAAAATTAATTCACTATTTTGCTACTTTTCTCTGTGTCTTATTGGGAACTTTCCTTTAATCATTCCCTTTCCCTTGTTTTATTAATAATTGTTGGTGTTATAGAGTATTTCTTCTATTGATAGAAGACATAATTTTTACTTAAAAAAAGCATAATAGCCATGCATTATAGTAGCATGCTTCAGTCATCTGGCTAGTAGCTACATACAGCCTCCCAGAGCACATGTATTTAGAACAATTTCCATAGAAACCATCCTCAGTGGAATAGAAAGTGATGGCACCTCATCAAAAAATAGGCCTCTGTTGTGGATGATGAAGACCAAGTGAATTACTGACACAGGATCAAGGCTGGGAGGAGGGGAGAGTCTAGCCTCCAATCACAACTACTTTTTTCTAGAGATAAGAAGGTCACCTAGGGTCTGCCTAAGACCACGAA